GCCCCAAAATCAAGTTAGGCAATATTTAATGAGGTATGACAAGAAGGTTCTTGAATGCTACTTTCTATTCAACTATTCTGAAAATGCATCTGGGTTTCAGAAAAAAAAGAAAGAAAGAAACAAATCTGAATGAACAGCTGTTCCCACTTAGAGTGTATTCATACACACTGTCCAGTTCTTCTAAATCATCACCTTCTTAACTGTTAGCAACAGTAGGTGAGTCTAGAAAGTCTGCATGTGTGCGCCTTGGTCACACACAGAGTCTACATTTAGCCAGTGGGTACCATCACCTGATTTCCTCTGGGGCCGATTCTATTAGAGAAGTCAGACCATTCTTTATAAATGAATGAACACTGTTCAATTGAGATGAACTTCCATACAAATGAAGAGCCAAGATGAAAACAACTGCAAACCACAAATTCAGAACCTGGAGGGACCCAATGGGAGCACAGTGGCTCCAAAGGAAAAGCACAAGGTTGCCAGTTCAAGTCCAACAGCCACTTCGCAGGAGAAAGATGAATCTTTCTGATCCTGCAAAGATTTAAAAGCTTGGGAAACCCTATACAGGGTCGCTGTGAGTTGGAAACAACTCAACGGTACTTTAACAATGAAGTCCAATGTTTAGAATGGACATCTGTTTCTGTCTGATGTCACAGTACAAGCACTGTACTAACACAGCATCTAAAGGGGGCAGCAGTCTTACCTGTCAAGTGCTGCACACAGTGTACAAGACACGATGTAACCCACCCAACAGCCAAAAAAGCTACCCTCCCAGGTGATGGGAAGCTTTGTCCAGCTCACCGAGTCTGTTTGAACAAAGTCTGCTAAGAGAGCTAGAGCAGTGATGAAGTTGGGGGCTCTGTTTGAAGATGTAGTTTCAACTGTGCCAACCAGGCACAAACTGCCTTTAGAAGTTGTAACCTCGAGAATCTCTGAGAACATTCTGAACTCAGGCTTTCCCCTAAAACCACACTGACTTCTTCCAACAACGGGTGCAACTTTGGTGCATCCATTTGAATGAGGGCTTGGGAGACATGAAGAGCTGACGCCTCTCCACAAATACTCTTCAAATCCATCTTTGCAGCCAAGAGCTTCTTAGAAGATTTCAAAGATCTCCGTTAACCACATAATAATGCAGGCATAGACAGCAATCTCACATGCAAAGTGGAGTGGGGTTAAGTTAGGTATAACCATGTGTGCCAAAGAAAACTAGCAAAACAAGGTCTCCCCTGTAGATCACATGAAGGCCAAAACTATCGGGGGGTTTCCTTCTGACAGAGACCAACCACACCTTTGGCAATTTTTTTTCCCTTAATCAAACTATTTAATAAATTATTTTCCAAAGGTCAATTTCAGGGGGGCCTTCAAAAAGTTCATGGGGAAAAACCATTATCTTTTCATTCCATTTCTCCATGAACTTTTTAAAGTCCTCCTCATATTTTTGCACAACCTCTGAGTCATTAGAGCTGAGAAGTATTTTCTCTAAAAACTCACTACACCTCACAGTTGCCACTAACTGGCATCCCGAGATGCTGGCTGTACCACAATTAGAGAGAACTCGGGGCCTGGGACCCACTGATTACTTACTTGTTAAAAAAAGGTTCAATGAGTTTGGATCTGGCAGACACGTGGAGTTTTGGAGGACTGAGAAAAGAACCTAATGAAGAAAAGAAGCAGGAAATTAGACCCATCTATACAGACAAAGCCTAAAAGTTCAGGCAAAACTATATTCAAATCTGCAGGTGGAATAACTTGGAAGATGAGAGTGACAACGGTGGTAAAACATGACAAATGTCATCAACGTCTCTGAATTACATCATTCTAAATTAATGAATTGGAAAATGTTCTGTCATACAGTGAAACCCGTGACAGCCAGAATTCGGTGGAACTGCCTCATTTTCTCCAGGTCTTGCAAGTTTTCTGCCTTTGACAGAGTACGGTTTGACCACTTTTCTAATGCTTTCCATGTAGTGGAAAAGACTTGCATTTTCCTTCTCTGACAGGTTTCTGCTTTACACAAGTTCCAACTTGCACAAGCTTTACTGCGTACATTTTTACCACAATAAAACATATGTGCAAAAATTCTATGGTTCAGTGAGCACAACGGTCAGCAGTGTACTCAAAGGGATCAAGTGCCACACAGCAGGGGCATGCAGGTGATCCTCTCTGTGTCTCTCCAACCCCCATCTCCTCCAAAGTCCCTCCACTGTCCCACTTGGACCTGGGTGGGTGGGTCCCAGGGAAACAGGGGACAGGCTGCTGTAATGTTCGGTGGACGCACGCGCAGTCAATACCTAGGTAGTTTGCCATGGAGATGAAACACAGTCCTGTGATGTAAGCGTCATAGCCTGCTTCGTGAAGCTGTTCAGAAGCTGTGTCATAACTTGGGAACCCTTCTGCACTCTCTACAGGGAAAGAAGAAAAGAAAGTTTCCCCAAGGACATCGCAAAACACAAAGACTGCTATGCATTCTATCCTGTCAAATTCAAACTGCATTGGAAATACTGCAGAAATAGTCTAAATAAATGGGGAGGGGGTGGTGTTTAAAAGCCTGTTAAATAAATGGAGAGAAGGAAGTTGTAGTTCTTAAATATAATCTTATAATGTATGCAAAAATCATACATTATAAGATTATATTTAAAAAATCCCCACTTGAGTAGCTTCTGAGCCATAGTAACCCAGAGAACAGAGCAGAACTGTCCCCCAGGGTTTCAGAGACTGTAACCCTTGTAGAGCAGATGGCCTCATTTTCCTTCCACAGAGCAGCTGGTGGGTTCACACTGAGGATGTTCCAGTTAAGTCAACTGCTTAACCACTGCACCACCAGGACATCTTCATGGGATAAGGAGGTCTTATTCTTGTCAAGTACAGTTGAGTCCGTTCTGATGCATAGTGACCCTGTACAGGGCGTCCAAGACTGTACATCTTTGCTGGAGCAGAAAGTTTTGTCTTTTACCCACGGAGTAGCTGGTAGGCTCAAACTGCTAACCTTGTGGTCCTCAGTCCAGTGCTCATCCTACAGAGCCACCAGGCCCCTGTTCTCACAGTTTAAGAGGCTAGCAATCCAAATAAAGACAAAGGTCCTGGTCTCCTTTGGAGTCCCAGCAACCTTTGGAGATCATCACATGTCTTGGCATCAATCGTTCCTTGGGTCTAGAAGCTTCATAGCACAGAGACTCGGGCCCAAATGACCAACTCCTCTCCTGGCTTGTCTTTCTTGGTGGTGGTAGGGAACTGAGCACTGACCTAGTCTTGGTCTAGATTAAGCAAATGCTAAGTTATATTACCCAAGATTCGGTTTGAGGGCCACCCTGTCTCACACTGGTGGATGCTACTTAGGATTGTACACACTGTCTTTACGACACTTTCTCCACTCCTGATTGCTTTACGGAATCATGAGGAGGAGCGTCAGGACTCAGTAGGTATTTCAGAGTAAGGAATGCTATTAGGGACTCTGGAGTCACAGTGCCAGAGTTTGAATCTGCTCCAACACATACTAGCTGTGTGGCCTTGGGCCAGTCACTTCACCTCTCTGAGCCTCTGTTTTTACAGCTGTACCATGGAGATGACAATCAAACCAGCCTCATGAGGGTCTTGTGAGGATCAGACGAGATACACTAACTCAGCATGGCTCTTGACACTGTGACCAGCACACAGGAAACACTCAATAACTGTCAGCTGTCGACACCCTCATAAGCATTGCTGTCCTCGACTCTGTTTTTACAGGATTGGAGAGCTACAGATGACAGGGCCACTTAACTCCAAAAATGGACCAGAACTTGCTATGCTGCTGCCCTTGGGACTTGGAACCACTTCACAGGGGAGCTGATTTTGTCTTGTTCTAATCTTTTGTCCTGTTCATATATAGATGCTGAGACAGCTAACTCTGGAAAAGGTGACTAGATTCTCTACTAGGTACCAGAATTTTATACAGAAATAGCAAATAAGACATTAACTCCTGAGTAATTATTTCCTAGAAGTCAATGTCAAGACAACAGAATCAAAATTATGAATAGAAATTAACAGAGAAAAGATTGAACTGCTTTTGCACCAACACAATGCTTACAGCTAAAGCCCTTTAACCTTCTTAAGTATTAGATATTAGACTAAGTTTTTTTGGGGGGTGCTTTTTTTTTAAAGTCTTTTAACAGGGCAGTCAACTAAATAATAGTCTCTATCTACTATCTGCTGTAATATATTATTTATTGTTTTATATATATTGTTGTTAAGTGCTGTGGAGTCGGTTCCAACTCACAGTGACCCTGCATAAGGTTTCCGAGGAACAGCTAGTAAGCTTGAACGGCACTTCACAACACAACACAACACACACATACATACATACATACAAACGCAAAAGGTCTAGATTTTCTTTCCTTCTCTTTTTATCTTAATTCTTTTTCTTGGAACAGTATCCAAAAAGGGAGTAATTAACTATAATCATGGCTGCTTTAACATTTCCTATTGTTAAGTTTCTGAAGCATTAGTCCAACTATCAATGTCTTTAGACCTTTTCAGGCTAAAGCTAATGGAATGCTTATTACAGAATGGATCACAGAAGTAGTGCCAGGATGGATCTCCTAAGACCTGGGTAGGGGCCACGGCCAGATGGTACAGACACAATGCCTCCAGTTCTAGGCCAGGCTCCTGGTTTTCCTCACTGCTGTCTCCACAGCTACACCAGCAGACAGGGTGGGCAAGGCTGGGGGTCCTCCTTCCTTTCCTCTGCAAGCTCAGTTCTGGGACTTGGCTCAGACACAACATGTTCTCGTTCTACCCCTGGTAATTCCCCACAAACTTTTTTGTCTTTCCGTAAACAAGGCATTATAAAGAGAGAAAGACGCATCAAGTTTTGGGAGAATTCCAAGCATGAGGAAATGAAAGCTCTGCAACTTTCAGGCTAAACTTCTCAGGGAAACAGGCACCTAAATCTGTTACCATAAAAATGGATGTGCAATCAGAAGACCAACCTTCTTTAACCCTGAGACGACCATTAGAAAACATGGATTCAACCCAGGATGCAGGCAAGCTGTCTTAACCAAAACCTATACGCACGCAATATAGTCAGTCTCTAAAGCAGTCTCATCTTTCCAGCACAAAATATATCAATAATTATCACAATAGTCAGGGGCTTGGGGGATCATTTTACAATCTTACCAACTTTAGGAGGGTTGAAAGGTGTCTCTTTTAACCGCTTTTCCAATTCCGCAAGGGAGGTATTGTTAATGATATCCTGCAAACCAGGAAAGCAGAGCATTTAGGTCTTCATCTCAGTGAGGCACACATTAACACAGAGATTCCATGATTGTCAGGACAAGGGTGTGCCTACTACTGCCCCCCTGTGGTGTCTAAAGAAACACGGGAGCCGTTACTCATTAGGTGTCAGAGGAAAGCAGGAAGTTCAATTTCAGTATATGGGAAGGACAGATGTAATGAAAGGTTTTTATAGATTATTAAATACCCACAGATCTTTTTCCAGAAAGCTAGACTGTTCTGATATGGATTTCACTCAGTCATAGTCACTCCACAAAAGCAGTAAATGACAATATTTTCTTCACATTAGAAAAGTATTCCCAAAATACATCAACAAAATAAAGGAATAATTGTGTGTATGCATAAACCATTCAAAGAACAATTTTAAGATATTAGAAACTCACATCCAGAAGACTAAAGGGGGACAAAACTGTATGCCCACTACCCAAAGATAACCACTACTCACATTTAGTCACATATTCATTTCTCATCATTTTTCAATGATATTTGGAATGACTTTTCAACAGACCAGAATTCCAAAGCTCTTAGTAGCAATTTGGAAACTTTCAAAATGTAGCTTTATCAGTGACAGTTCACATTTAAGAAATACCTTAAAAGGCTGTGTACTGGCCATCAGTTTGGTATCCAAGAGTCTAAAAGCAAAACAATTTTTAGTAAGGTAAACAAAAGGCACATTTCCAAAATGTATTTTACTCATATGAATAGTCTATTGTCTTTTAATTGGGAAACAATAAATGCGCTAATGACTGGAACCTAGGACCTGCTACAGGGGCCTGGGGTTCAGTCCAATTACCGGGGACTTGGTCAAGTGGCTGCAGGGGAAGCCCACACCATGTCACATTCCGTGCGTAAGTTCTAGCACCTGGTACTCTGAGATGGCAAGGCTCCATCCTTCGTGGGACAAGCCAGACACCCTCATGTGTTTTAACATGGCTCAAATATCGTGGCAGGTCTATGTCCCCATACAATCATCACTTCCTGCTACCACCCAGTGTTCTACAATATAAACTCTTAACGGAAGGTCATGATCTGCATCTGGCTATTTCACGTTGCTGCTGTTAGGTTTTACTATTCTATATCAGAGATCAGAAAAACTGAAAGATGAGACTAACATGGACATTTTGTTTCTTTTCATGTAAATGAAGACTGTATCAGGGTAAGTCACAAAGTTTTGCTACAAAATCATAGAACCCCTTTATTAAACAAAATTACCAGCATGAGAAGCTACTGTTTCTTGACATAATCCTCCCATCTAGGTCTATATACTTCTGAAGGCAGTATTTCCATCTCTCTGTCTCTCTATCCCTAAAGAATTCTGCACTCTTCAATTTACACCATGTCAAAACGGCAATTCTGGCATCCTTGAGAGTCAAATTTTGTTCCTTTTCAATATTCTTTGCATTTGAAGGACATAAAAAAGTCTGAAGGGGCAAAATCAGGACCGTAGTGTGAACAGGATAAGGCTTCCCAAGGAAATTCTCATAGAACAGAATGAGATGAGCAGGTCAATTGTCACGATGGAAAAAGTACCAATGGAGCACAAGTTTCAGAGTCTCTGCTGACACCCATTTTGGTCTTTTTTTTCTTCCTTGTCTTCTGTACGATGTTCTTGATGTCATCACACAACTCTTCTGGTCTTCAGTCATCGGTGTCTAATGCATCAAATCTGTTCTTGAGATGATCTCTAGATTCAGGCAGGATATGTTCAGGGTCAAATGATGGCTCTCGTAGACTTGTTTTTATTTTCTTCAGCTTCAGTCTTGAGCTTGTATCTGATGACTGATGGTCTGCTCCACAGCTGGCCCTGGCCTCATTTTGGCTGATGCTATGGAGCTTCTCCACCATCTCTCTCCACAGACGGGGTCAGTGTGATTTCTGTGCACCCCATCTGGTGACGTCCACATGTACCATAGTCTTTTATGTTGTTTAAAAAAGGCACTGGCAATGAAGAAATCATTGAGCTTGCAAAATTCTATTATGAGATCCCCAGCATTATTTCTATCACCAAGGCCGTGTTTTCCAACTACTGAGCCTTCTTCTTGGAAGTTCCCAAAAACAGTCATCATAAGCTTCGGAGCTGACCTCTCAACCTTGAACTGAACTGACCCAGCAGATCCCCTCAGAAGTCATTGCTTTGTTTGAACCTTTTTTTTGAAGGCACCCCAATGAGACTAAGACAAGTGTATTCCTGAGAGAACTTTTCTACAGCCACACGCTGATCGATGAGACAGGTCTAAACTCGCTTTACGTGTATCAACTGGGACCCTAGTAGTGATACTTTTTGACTCACTCTCATAGATAAGACAGAAGTTGACCTGAGAGGGCCACTGCTCCATCCATGCCTGTCCTCAAACAGGTCCTTAAATGCAGAGCCTTGCGTTGCAAATGTAAAGGTAGACGTTTTGTAACAAAAGGCGGGGAGTGATTGTCTTGCAGTCCAGAAACGGAGGACCCTGGGACCATCAAGGGAGAAGAACAGAGTGCGGGACCCTATCCAGAGAAGCAGTGACACCAGAGATGGAGGCAGAGATGATGACGTGGAGAGATGGAGCGGCTGGGGACCCTGGACTCAGGGAGGGAGAGGGGCTGTGTGCTGGCAGACAGAAGGTAGGTTTGCAGGGTGTACCCTTAGGTTGTTTGAATGGTTATATATTCCTGAGTACTAACACAGGAATTGGAAGCAAATGCTGTTGATTGATGATGTATGGAGGGGATTGTAATCAATCATTGCAATGAAAGGAAATACGATGGGATGAATATAAAGCTGATGTTCTCCCATGTAAACTATCATTAAATTCACAAAAACTTAATTAAAAAAAAAAAAAAAAGCTGAGCCTTGCTCTACAGGCACCACATGACTGACATGTGATCGAACTTATCAGATGTAACACACAATCTGGACTGTGGAAAACACTCCAAAATCAAGTTATCTAACTTCAGAGTAAGAGCAGCATCTCTCCAAGACAGCCCTTACCAGACTAGAAAAGACTGTCAATTAGACACTCCATTGGCTACAAAGTATAGCCCACAGACAAGATGGACAAGTGTCCGATCTCAAGGGGACCTCACCAGTTCGTCACATATCAAGAGAAGGGATAAGAAGAATATTTTCAGTTGCATTTTGGATTTGTAAAGGGAACACAAAACCCATCACAAATCACGAAAACCGAACTTGACAAACCTGGCGCTATAAATCATTCCCCAGAATTATGACCTAGGGGCTTTGATAAATTGTTATCTACCTCTCCGTGTTATATTATCGGGCCACAATGACTGTGTGAACGAAAGATGGAACCTCAAAGAAAGCTTACCTGGGGAAGACACACGTTGTCATCTCCTTAAACTCATTTAAGTCCTAAAAATACAAGAGCATGACTTATTACAATGTTACTGTGACACCCACTGTTAAAAACATACACAGACAGTGCAGGTTCCCTAGCTCTCTTCTCACACTGGTAAAACTATTTCTAATTCATTGTTGTTGTTAAGTGCCTTCAAGTCGGTTCTGACTCATAGTGAGCCTGTACAGGGTTTCCAAGAGTGGCTGGTGAGCTTGAACTGCCAACGCTGTGGTTCAAAACTACCTTACGATCCAGTGCATTAACCTGCAGCGCCACCTGGCTTGGTAGAACTAACCTTTCTGTAACCGAAATAGACACATTTAGGTATTTTGTAGCTGATCTCAGTGGGAAGGAAATACAGCCAGAGTGCTTCCTTAGAAGGAAGAATGGGGAGACTTCATCATTATGAGGGAACCAGACCCTGGAGGAGGACATCATGGCAGGAAAAACACAGACTCAGCGAAAAAGCAGAACACAACTAGATGCGCTGACACCCTGGTTGCAATGGTGAGCTCAAACCTTGGCAACAACTATGAAGCTGACCCAGGGCCAGCAGCAGTCCAGGGGGTTGCCAGGAGCCAGAACTCACTGAAATACTAACCACAGCAATGACTCGCAGTGTGACTCGCAGTGTGACTCGCAGTGTGACTCGCAGTGACGCTATACGGCAGATACTCTACAGTGTCCATGGCCTGAATCTTTAGGGGAGCAACTGCCTCCTCCTCCTATGGAGTGGCCAGAGGGTTCAAACCACCAGCTTTTCAGTTAGAGTACCACAGGGTTCCATCATCACAACAGAGGAAGGCAAGTGGGTCGTTTACACACAAAAATGACTACACACTGGGGAGGCTCGTAATGTATCCAAAACACTCGCAGCAACAGCAGACAGAAATTCATCCCAACGACAAGTCTGGCCGAGTCATTTCACCGACATGATCTACACAGGAGACGGACATTGCTGCAGATGGGGTTCTGTTTTTCCTAAGAACACCTCGGAAAGATTGGTTAACATGCCCACTAAAGCACAGACCTTTTACTACACAAGTGATTGCTGCTTTGCCGATTCAGAGACTTGCCAAAGGGGAACTAAAAGCCAAGTGCTCAAACAGGAGGACTCATTTCCCGGGTTGATTTTGGTCAGGAAGCACACAGTCTGCAATGAGGGTTCTGACGGTGATTTAACTCATTCACATCCTAACTGTCACGCTACACCGAGGAGTCAGGCTCCTGACCCTTTGTTACTATACTTCTCTTCAACGTGATTCACGCTTCAGAGGAAACTGCCACTTTCAATTAGCTTTTGAAGCCTGTAAACACAGAGAAGGTACTTAGCGAGCTTGAGACAGCTAATAGCTTTTCAGTGGTACCGTTCAATTAGCCGACAATGCATGAACAAGTAGTTGTGATGTTCAGTCAAACCAAAATGTACCAGGAAATGTTTGAAGCCTTCATACACTACAGAGCTTCACAAGCAAGAAGAAAGTAGAATTACAGCTACTTCCAGAGCCAGCAATTAGCAGAATTCAACGCATTCTACAAAGTCATGGGGAACTACCACCAACAAACCTCTGAGACTCCCCTGAAACGCAGCTCCACAAGATACACTGTTTAGTGCACTTTTCCCAGGACTTACCTGTCAGTCTGCTGTACTGGCTTCCCTGTTGGGATTCTGGGTCTGCTACAGCTATTGCAAATACCAGCAGGGTCACCCATACCCTAATAGATGTCAGCAGAGCTTCCAGACTAACACGGACTTGCACCTGGAGATCTACTTCTAAAAATATCGGCCAGTGAAAACCTTATGGGCAGCAACGGAAGTTGTGTGATATAGTGGCAGAAAATAGGCCTCTCAGATTGAAAGGCATTCAAATACATCTGGGAAAGAGCTGCGTCCCCAAAGTAGAGTCAACCTTAAAGACATGGATGGAGCAAAGTTTGGGGACTTTCATTTTCTGATGTGGCATGATTGAAAATGAGTAGCAGTAGCTGCAAATATCCATTAACACTTAGAACGGAGAATGTACAAAGTATGAATCTAGGAAAATGGGAAGATATCAAAAATGAACTGGACCACCTGAAATTCTGGCATTGGTAAGCAAAAATACATAGATCAGCACTGATCATACTGAATCAGGCAATCAGAGGGCTTACTATGCCGAGAGTGACAAATCCAGAAGGAATGGTATAGTATTCACCATCAAAAAGAACATTTCAAGATCCACCTGGAAGTGTAGTGCTGTCTGTGACAGAGTAACATACATACGCCCATAAGGAAGACCAGTTCATACAACTATTATTCAAACATATGCACTAGCTACAAGTACCAAAGTTAAAAGGTTTTTACACAGCAATGAAGCCCTACAACGTTCAACAGACTCCTGTGAACCCAGATGGAGACCTGGTTGGCCAGCAGTGTGTCAAGACCTGGGGGGGACTCTTGGGCCCAGAGTCAGAGACATAGCCACAGAGGACTAGAGTGGAGAGTGAAGCATCCAGCTGCTAAGAAGAGAGGGCATATGCACAAGAACACCCACACTTGCAGATAATACCCACTTGACCTGGCTTCAATGACGATGATCAGAGTTCAACTAGAAGAAAGAAGAGGAAAAGAAAGAGTAATCTGATATAATTTGATGAACTTGACCTACACCTATAGATGCAGCAGCTCAAAAGAGTGAACAAATCTTTACAGCAAGGATCGCTCCCATCCCCTACATACACAGAACAGACAGGAATGGGCAATGTGGACATTGGCTACCCAAAATGGGGGTGCTACAAAGGCAAGAAGTGACTGGATTACAAGCTTTCAAGAGGGAATCTAGATCCAGAGGGTGTGAAGGAAGGTAGAATCTCCACTGAGTAGTATCCAATGTCTAGGCGGGGCTGATAAAATGAAATGCAGATAGGTCTCTTGTGATACAATAGTGAATAATTGTTGTCAGGACTGATTGTGAGGGTTGGAAATGTAAAGGCAGACGTTCTATAGCAAGGAGGGGAGTGATTCACTTTTCAGTCTAGGAGCGGAAGTCCCTGGGACCATCAAGGGAGAAGAGTGGAGAGCGGGACCCTACCCAGAGAAGCAGTGATGCCTGAGATGGAGGCAGAGATGATGATGTGGAGAGAAGGAGCAGCTGGGGACTTTAGTCACAGAAAGGGAAAGGGGCTATGAGCTGACGACCTGAGGGGCAGGCTTGTAGTGTATGTATACCCTATGGTTGGTTGATGATGCACGGAGGGGATTGTAACCATGGCAATGAAACAATATATGACAGGATGAATGTAAAACTAATATTCTCCCATGTAAACTATCACATAATTCACAATAAAATATTTTTAAAAAAAGGTTTTTACAAATTTCTTCAGTTTGAAATCAACCAAACATGCAATCAAGGTACATTGAAACCTACTGCTGAATGGGGAAGTATGGCCTTGGTGATAGAAATAAAACTGGAGATGACGTAATAGAATCTTACAAGACTAACAACTTTTTTTTATCAACAACATAAACAGTGGCCATACATGTGAATCTCACCAGATGGAAAATACAGGAATCAAATCAACTACATTTGTGGGAAAAGATGATGAAGAAGCTCAATATCATCAGTTAGAACACAGTCAGGGGCTAACTAAGAACAGACCACCAACTGTTCTTTCCCAAGTTCAAACTGAAACCGAAGAACGTTCAAACAAGTCCATGACAGCCAAAGTACGACTTGAGTATACACCTCATCGGAGTTTAGAGAGTCTCAAGAATAGATTTGATGCACTGAATACCAGTGATCGAAGACCAGATGAGCTGTGGGATGAGGTTTTGTGTCCACTTGACTGAGTCAGGATTCTCAGTGGTTTGACAATTGAGATCTCGTTAGCCCCATAAGGAGATCTAATATAATGTAATTAATTCTATGATGATTAGCTATGAGCAGCCAGTCAACTGAAAGGATGCTTCCTCGGGGAGGTGGCCTGCTTCCAATATACTAGACACTCATGCAAAGCTTTTCTGCTGGGCCTGCATCTTGCACCTGGCTTGGCCTCCGACCGCTGGCTCTTTGGAGTGAGCCAGCGGCCTGTTCTATTACCAACTGACCATGCGAGCCATCAGCAGCCTGCCAGACCTGCCTGCCTGCTGATCCTGACTGCCTGTCGGACCTGCCTACTGATCCTGGTTTCTCTGATGTGGACTAGGGACTCCGCTACCTCTACAATAGTGGGCTATTTCCTTGATATAAACGTGTCTTTGTGTGTGTGTATAAGCATATATAGATATATAGATATATATCTATATATATAGATTGTTGTTGTTGTTAAGTGCCATCGAATTTGTATAAATAAGGAGCTCTGGTAGCGTAGTGGTTACGAATCGGGCTGCAAACTGCAAGGTTAGCAGCTCGAAACTACCAGCCGCTCTGCAGGAGAAAGATGAGGCTTTCTGCTCCCATAAAGATTTACAGCCTCGGAAACCCTATACAGGGTCGCTATGGGTCAGAACCGACTCAACGGCACTTAACAACAACAACATTTGTATAAATATGGAGTCCTGGTATGGCACTATGGTCTCATGTGCTGGACTGCAATGGAGACACAAGGTCAGTGGTTCAAGCTCACCAAATACTCCTTGCTATGAGTTGGTTCCAACTTATAGAGTCTCTGCATAGGGTTTCTAAGGCTTTTCAATATTTTTTCAGGAGCAGAAAGCCTCATCTTTCTCCTGCGGAGCAGCTGGTCGGCTCAACCCGACAACATTATGGTTCACAGTCCAGTGTTTCTTCTATGGAGCAGCTGCTCATACATATGGGGAGTGCGGTGGCCCCACACCACAAGCACTGGACTGCAAACCACAAGGTCCACGGCTCAAGCCTACCAGTCAACCTGGGAGGAGGATGAGGCTTTCTGCGTCCACCAAGATTTAAAAGCCTCAGAAACCTGATACAGGGTCACTACGGGTCAGAACCCACTCAAAGGCACTTGACAGCATATACATATGTAAGTTTCAGTGGTTTTGCTTCTCTAGAGAGCCCAGCCTGTGAAGACAGATGACATCAAGACCATCATACATGAAGGAAACACAAAGATTATTTTAAAAACAGGAAAGAAAGAAAATACCACAATGTAAGACAACTCTGAAAATAGCTCTCGAATACAGAGAAGCTAAAGCAAATAGAAGAAATGATGAAGTAAAAGAGAGAGACAGATTTCAGAGGGCAGCTCAAGAAGACAAAATAAGGTATTACAATGAAATGTACACAGACCTGGAGATAGAAAACCAAGAGAAGAAGACAAAAGTCAAACCTTGAGTTGTGATTATTAAAGTAATCTATGGGCAAAACTATTGAAGAACAGAAGAAGCATCGAAAGAAGATGGCAGGAATACAGAGTTACTGTATCAAAGAGAACTGGCCGACATAAGGGAGAATCCAAGCTACACTGAGGCACTGGATCGTCAAAGAGGTCATGGCTGGAGATGAAGATGTGAGCGTCCAGAGCTGAAGTTACGGTCACTAAGAGACAGAAAATATGGAGTGAACATAAAGGCAACAGAGGGAAGAAGAACAAGAGCAGAAGGCAGAGTGATGGGAGAGGAAGGGTCTGAAGGGAGCGCTTCTCCTGGGGAAAAGACGTCCATGCTGTGGGGCACACAGAGAATTGGACTCAAAGCATACAAAGCGCTAGGGTGGTCACCAGAGGGCCAAAGGGAGGCCGCCAAGCAGGACCTGATTCAGCTGAGTTGACCTAAAATACCACCTACTGTCAATGGCCCTTTGATGTCTGATTTTAGCAGGACCAAATAAGACCACACCTCTGGCCTAGGAGTAAGTGGCAACAGACGCCCAAAGTTCCCTGGAAACGACTTGTGTGTCTACCTCCTGGATATTGTCCAACTAAACACTTAAGATGCTTGGCGGGACGTGCTACGCCCAAGGACCCAGCACCCCAGTAGAGAACATTTCCTTAGCACAAAGGCTGATGAGTCACTTACCGTGGGCAGCGGGCAGTAGAACTGATGGACCGTGTGCATGACATCCAAGAGCATATTGTGTCCAATGACCAGCTTCCCCTAAAAAAAGTCAAAGTTAAGAAAAACACTTCTCAAAAAAAAAAGACTTCTTGGGACAAAGTTATCCTGAGGGCTGAGAAAGAAATGCATGCTTCACATTCCACAAATATTCCACACTCAACTGGCTACTCCAGACTAAACAAACAAAAAATCCCAAACAATACTACAATTTTTGAAAATAAAGAAATGTGGGCTGGCTTCATTCCTCTTCCATTTGGGGGTGTTAAAACCAGAAGGCAAAAATGAAATCATTTTTTGATTTTTGCATTCATCCTGCCACCCTCAAGAATCACAAAGTACTTAAAATTGGTATTGAAGGTCTTCAGTCGAAAAAAAGGCAAAATCTGAAAATGCAGAGTCTGGTCCCTTGAACAGTTGCACAATTTGTAAATAAACACCAACTATATACTTGAGGATAGCACTCTTCAAAACAACTGACTTATTTTTAAAAGGCACATTCATAGCAACACTAAAAGATTAAAATGACTAGTATTTAATTATACCCAAGTGGGAGAGAGGGAGCTTTAAAAGGTTCATGGAAAAACGGAATTAAAAAGAGAATGGAACTTTTCCACAAACTTTAAAGTCCCCTTGCATTCAACAGAAGGAATGTTCACCACCTACCTCTGTTATTAAAATTCAAGGTATAGGTTCTTAAATAACATCTCCAATAACATTCCTGACTTTTCAACCAACTGAAAGACTACATATTTGTAGCACATGACCCCACTGTGAGGTCAACAAGAACAGAATGTCCTCATCGATGTCTATTTAGCCAGGTGTCACCTTTTAACAGAAAGTGCCACATCCCATCCCCCACAAGAGCTTTTTCCCACATCCCAGCCCCCACAGGAGCTTTTTCCCACATCCCAATGGACGCTGGGAGTAACGCTGCTTGACCCAGGGCTCAGTGTCTTATTTGAAAAAGGAATTCTACACAAAAGATGTATTCCCACAGCTAACAAGCAAGCTGTCTTCTATGCCCAGACTCTGTGCACTCTGAGTAGCTGTACAATGTACACATGTAGACTGCAATCGTAGCGATGTTGGGGGTGGAGCAGTGCTCAAAATGGAGTGGCTGGTTGATTTGAACTGCTGACCTTATGGTTAGCAGTCCAGTGCTTATCCTACAGTGCCACACCAGGAGTCCATAACACTAATAAATGAACCTAACTGCATTATGCAGTGCCCTGGTGGCCCAGTTGGTAAGCACTCAGCTACACATCAAATGACCAGTGGTTCAAACCTGTCAGCTGCTCTGCAGGAGAAAGATGTGGAATGTTAACCTCCTACCTCTGTGTCAAAATTCAAGGTACAGGTTCTTAAATAACATCTCCAGGAACATTCCTGGCTTTTCAACCAACTGAAAGGCTGTAAAGATGACAGCCTTGGGGACTCTATGAGGCAGTTCTACTCCATGCTACAGGTTAGCTAGGAAGTGAGAATGGATTCTGTGGTAATGGGGTCGGCTTTTTGGTAGCTGCATTCTTGCTGAATCCAGGTAAGCACACTGAAGTAGGAGGTTGGGAAAGGAAGCAGTAACTTGGAAACTAACACGTGCACTTGTAAGAAAAGGAGAAGGATGCTTGTTTCAGCTTCTCCTCAGTACAGGCTGTGGGTCAGCACTTCTGAAACGACTGTATACGTCCGCCTGACTTTAATAAATACAAACAGCATAGGCAAGAAAAGTGTTGGGGTTTCTCACTGCTGGAGAAAGAAGCTTCAAACACGGACAAAGGAGGCTAAAACTAAACCCTGCTGTGCTGGGCATCTGCAGCTCCGCTACAAGTCAGGCTTTTTACTATCTAGACAGGCTGACTGAGCCTGATAAATTAGCGTGTGTGTGCATAATGGTATAAACTCAAACCAAACCTGCTGCCAAACTCCTTGCAGCCCAGCAGGAGCCCAGCTCCTATGTTGGGTTTCTAAGGCTGCAGGCTTTGTGGGTGCAGAGTTTTCTGTGGGTTTGAACCACTGCCCTTTTGGTTAGCAGCTGAGGACTTTACTGAATACCCAGGGCTCCTTGCATGGGTGGTGTTATGTGCCTTCATATCAGTTCAAACTCATAGTGACTCTGTAACGGATTTCCAAGGCTGCAAATCTTTGCTAGAGCAGAAAGCCTCATCTTTATCCTGCCGAACCACTGGAAGGCTCGAACTGCTGACCTTATGGTTTCAAATTCAGTATTTATCCTCTGGGACCACCACACTCCCGTTGCATGGGTATGATGCTGTTGATGAGCTGCCGAGTCGGTAGGGTTGAAACTGCCAACCTTGTAGTTCACAGTCCATTGCTGATCCTGCAACGCCACACCAGGAGTCCCTGCTCTGTCCAGTGAGAGTCATCAGGGTACCAAGACAGCCCAAGAGTAACCTTCTGCCCAGATCTTGGCTTCCAGACACTATTCTATAAAAAGAACCAAAGCTCCTTGGAAAAGTGGCTTTTCCAGAGTTGTTGTTGTTGTTGTTAAGTGCCGTTAAGTTGGTTCCGACTCACAACAACCCTGTATAGGGCTTTTAAGGAGCAATTTGTGATTTGAACTGCCAACCTTGTGGTTCAAACTGACCTAGTGGTTCAGTGCTGTATCCCACAGTGCCACAGAGGGCAGGGAAAATATATAATGAACCTGGACTATCGTGTGATGCCCAAAAGTTAAGGGAGTGCTCCAAAATGACAGGGCTTGCTCAAAAGACCAAGAGTCAGTCAATCCCAAGGAGGAGTACCAACAACCAGGCTGGAACAATCGGAGTCACAAAACAAACATTACAATGTATTTGTTATATGCTCTCTGGTTAATTCCAATGCTAATAAACTGCCCTACAGGGTTTCCTAGCCCTAATCCACAATTTGTCTGTCAGTTTGTCATCTGTGGTGGCCTTCGTGGTGCGGTGATGCTGAGGTGAAGTTAGGCCGCAGGTATTTTATACACGAGCGGGGTCACCCATGGGGGGCAGGTTTCAGCGGCGCGTCCAGATTAAGATATGCTACAGAGACCAGGAAGAAGCGGAGGCACAGCACTTTTGAAAGTGGAACACTGTCAGGTAGAGTGCTGGAGGACAAGTGCCTCAGGTCGGAGGGCACTCCAAAAATGGCTGGGGAAGAACTGCTTCCTCAAAGCAGAGGTGACCTTAATGAAGTGGACGGAGCAAAGCTTTGGGGAGGTTCATTTGCTGGGGAGGCACAACTCAAAACGAGATGAAACAGCTGCAAACATCCATTAGTCACTGGAACGTGGAATGGACAAAGCATGAATCCAGGAAAATTGGAAGTCATCAGGCTGCAAGACTTCAACTCCTGTACGTTGGACACATTGTCAGAAAGGACCAGTCCCTGAAGAAAAATGTCATGCCTGGTAGAGTGGAGAGTCAGCAAAAAAAGAGAAAGATCCTCAACGAGATAGAATGACCCAGTGTCAGGAACACTGGGGATGGGGCCAGACCGAGTAGTGCTTCGTTCTGTTGTGCAGAGGTTGCTAGGAGTCGGAGCAGACTCAATGGCACCTCACGACAACCATCTACGGAAGCCATCACCAGGGCTCTCTCCTGTGGAGCTGCTGGTGGGTTCAAACTGCCGACCTTTCAGTCAGCAACCAGGCCCCTTAAACATGAAAATACTGCATTATAATTGGCTGAATAAAATAATATACAGGTCTTAGTGTATACTGACAGACAGCTGGCCCTTGAAGAATTCAAGTTTGAACTGGGCAGGTCACTCATCAACTCCATATGAGCAGTTCCTCACACCAATAAACTGGGTGTCACAGTAAAAAGGGATCTCTCCCAGTTCTTGTGTACAAGGGAGTTTCAAAAAAATTTGTGGGAAAATGGAATTAAGAGAGACTGGAATTTTCCCACACTTTCTGAAGCTCCCTCATATTTTTTTATGGAGTTTAGTGTAGTTACCATGGGGAACACAGGGGCTCCATACGATCAGCACTGGACTGCGAACCACAAGGTCCGTGGTTCGAGCCCACCAGCTGTTCTGCAAAGAAAAGTTGAGGCTTTCTGCTCCTACAAAGATTTGAAGCCTCGGTAACCCTGTACAGGGTTGCTGTGAGGAGGAACCGACTTGACGGCACTTAACAACAACAATGAGATGCTGTAAACCTTGACTGGCACCATGGGACTGGTACAAAGTGCCACTAGTGATGCTGGAAGTGCTCACAAGAAGCAGAGAAAAACCATGACATTACAAGAAAAAGGGGAATTGCTTGCTACGTAATATAGACTAAGGTCTGCAGCTACGGATGCTCGCTATTTCAAGACAAATGAATCCCAACTTCAGGACCGTTGCACCAAAAAGAAGAGAAAATTTGTAAAGTTATTGCTACAGCTAAACTAGCAGGAGAAAAAATGCTATACTTTTTGTGAAACAAATTTTTATCTTGTACTGAAAATTCAGCTTTTACAGGGCTGCAATATATGCTACAAATGACATAGAAAACGTGTTGTTAATTGACTGTTCGTGTCATTGGTAAGGCTTCCGGTCAACAGCAGGCTATCTGTAGTTACAGTGTGGGAGGAAATAGTTATATGAAGACTTCAACTGTGTCGGGGGCTGGCACCTCTAACCCCCATGTTGTTCAAGGGTCAACTGTACACAAATTAACTACATAAAAAGGGGCAGTTCTTCCTTCCAGCATTCCTTACAACTAACAAATGTGGAAGGAAAGAGGAAAATTTAGCAGCTCAACATAACAGCATCTAAGTAAGCTGGAGGTCTGCTGTGGCACTGTTGGATAAGCACTGGACTGATACTGGAAAGATGAGAGATTCAGAGCCATAAGCCACTCCCTGGAAATCCTATAAGAGGTTGCTATGAACTGGAACCAACTGGATGGCCCTTAGCAGCAGCAGCAAGTCAGTAAGTGCTGCAGGTAATCCTCCCAGGGCACTCCCCAAGATCCTTACTAGCAACAAAAGGGAAGATGCTACCTCTGCAGTGGGAAACCCTGCAGGAGCCACCTCATTAAGGAATCAAGGTCACTCTTGCCAAAAATACCACTCTCCAGTCCCATTGTGAGAAAACACCAAAGTCACACTGAGGGAACAAAGTCTCACAGGTATGAGGACCAAGAAAAGAATGCTAAAGACGAACGGAAACTGAGGAGAAAATGTGACTGCATGCCACATGGGACCCCATGGGACAGAAAAAGGGGCAGAGCCACTGAATAAGGTCTTTAGTTCACTTCACAAATGGCACTGTACCAGGGTATTTCAGACTTTACCATCAGGGTAGCGGGTGAAGGACAGATGGGCACTCTGCAGAGCTTCTGTCGATGGATCAACCCCTGAAACTTTTCCCTGAGATCATCTTTAAACCTTCAAGCACAAAATATCCAAAAAAAAACAAACAATCGTCCAGCTTAACTAGTGAAAAAAAAAAAAAAAAAAGTATGCTTTCAGCATGATGTTCTTTAAACAACTACCCACAGGGGGTCAAAGGGACAACAGCAACTCAAAAGGTTAGACAGGAACCCTAGAGGGCAGGAAGTCTGTGTCGTCAAGGGAACAACTGAGAAAAGGAGGGAGAGAATGGAAGCAAAACTCAGAAGAAACATGCCATCAGTGTCACTAAATGACCCATGGAGAAATGTTTATATTGGGGTATGCTCCACTGTGCATATTTCAACACCAAAATCAAAAGAAAACTGCTCCTGATTCAAAAAGGGGACCTTGGCACCTAAGAGACAAGAAGATTCCTTCTCTGAAGCCAAATGCTCTCCAGGCAATTCATCAAGCCCAAACAAGCAGAATGACTCAGCTGAGATTCACAGAACCACCAGCAGGGGGCACCAGGGGCTCTACGAAAGTATGGAAGGTTCTGCTGGGGGAAAAAAGCATCTATGCTAGAACTAGAATACA